CTAACCAATGTGGAAATCTTTTACCACCATAAAACGAAATTCTAAGTTCTTTCAAATTTTTATGAGGCTGTAGCATATCAAGAACATGCATTTCATCTTCTTCGTTCTGGTAATCAAGGAACTCACTCCATTTCAAATCCAAGGCATCAAGGTCCTGCTTATCCATTAGATTAGCATGCCAAGCATCTCGAGAATCAACCACATTTTCCAACCCCATAATGCAAAACTCCCCTTTTAGATGCATCAAATCCTTCAATTCTTTAATGCCAAACTGATTGTCATTTCCCACAATGAATTTGGACAAAATTTGAAGGCTTTTCAAATTACCAATGTGAAGTGGCATCTCCACTAATTTCTCAGTATCAGTAAGATCAAAAACAAGAAGGTTAATCAGATTTTCAATACCTTGTGGCAATTTAGTAAGCTCCTTGCAGCCACACAATAAAAATGTTTGTAAGTTGAATAGGTAACCCACAGATTCTGGTAACTGTGTAATTGTAGTGTAAGACAAATTAAGGTACCTCAAGTGCTCCAAATGACCAATAGAATACGGTAGTTTGTCCAGGCAGTAACCACTCAAACATAACACTCTTAAGTATCTTAATTCTGCCACCAACTCCTGCAACACATCTTTGCTCAAGTAACAGCATGCTGTTGAAGATGATGTATCAACTGGTAATGCTATGAAAGTCCGTAAAGACTTCGCTGAATCAAATACTTCAAATCTTTTGAAAATGTCATATTGGCGACGAGTGAATGACAAATGACGAAGCTTTTTAATACTTGCAGCCAGTTTATCTCCACAGTTATTCTCAAAATGAAAGCATATTTCTCCAGCAACAGATTGAGCTAGATCATTTATAAGGTCATGCATAACAAACAATGTTTTGTTGCTATTTGACCGTTGGAAAAAAGACCTTGAAAGCAAATCATGAAAATATGCAAGACCTAGGTCCCACGCTTGCTTTCCTCCCTTGGCGTCTTGTATCAAACCCTCGGCCATCCATAGTAGGACCAGCTCATTCTTGTCAAATTCATAGTCTTTTGAAAAAATAGCACAATACGCAAAACATCGCTTCAAATGGGAAGGAAGATGATGGTAACTCAACTTCAAAGCAGGAACGATGCCACCTCTTTCTTCTAGTATGTCCCATATTTTGCTCCTCAGCATATCTTCCCACTCATCATAATTTGCTTTACCACGCAGGAGCCCACCTAATGTCTTGGCTGCCAATGGTAATCCTTTGCACTTCTTCACTATCTCTTCACCAATTCCTTTTAGAATTGGGTGTCCATCAAAATTACTAGCTCCAAGAGCATGTGTGGCAAAAAGTGAAAGGCAATCATCATCAGACAAGGCCTGCAAATGGTATACCCCACATGTTGTCATGATAGATGCAACCCTTTCACTTCGAGTCGTTACAAGTACCTTGCTACCAGCTGCTCCCGCCAAGAAGGGTCTACGTAGAACATCCCACCTTTCATAGTTCTCATTCCAAACATCATCTAAAACAATCAAAAACTTCTTTCCAGAAAGCTCCTCCCTTAGCCTCAGTTGAAGCGAATTTAGGTCGACCTTGGAATGGCAACCCTCCTTAGCGACAGACTGCAATAGAATCTTAGTCACCCTAACAACATCAAAGTCCTCAGAGACACAAACCCAAACCCTCAATTCAAACAAGTTTTCAACTTTCTCATCATTGTATACAAACTGAGCAAGCGTGGTTTTACCCACTCCCCCCATTCCCACAACACAAACCACACCAATTTCACCAATTTCAACATTCATCAGCCGTTGAATAATCTCATCTTTATCCATTTCCCGGCCATAAACCTGAGATTCATCAACAAGAGAACTCGTCGACCGAAGCCCATCCCTTATTCTCTCCAATCTCCCTTCATCACTCCTCCCCAGCAAATTCAAAACATTCATCTGCTCAACCATACCTTCAAATCTAACAGTGATATCTTCTATTTTAGAACCCATCCGTGCACTAAACTTAACACCACTTAAATTCAGACCGGTAACACAACTTGGGAAAAAACGGCATGCCATACCGCCGGTGCTCGTCATCTGAGTCTCCCCCAGTATTCTCCGGCGCAGGGCCTCGGTGGCAATTTCATCAATGATATCTTCAGCATCATATACCATGTCTTTTAAATCGCTGAGCCAGAGCTTCACCGCTCGACTGACCGTTTGCTTATCCTCTGCGTCATCGAGAATGGCTCTGATCTTTGGTAACAGGTTCTTCCACTTGTTGAGTTGGGACAAGACTTGCTCTTGCCGGACAAAGTTGAGAAACTCTGAGGAGGCAAATAATCTTTCAAATATATGGTCAAACAGAGAGGAAAGCATTGCGTCAGCAATGCTCGATGCTACAGCTTCCATTGAAAATCAATGAACCAAATCGAAACCCAAAAGATAAAATGCAGCTTGTGTCTTTTTCCGGCCAAAAACTCTATGAAGAGATCTCCGTGCATGGTGCCCTGCACTACTTCTTTGCCTATCTTCAAAAAAATAAAATAAAAAATAAAAAAAATAAAAGATAACTTACTAGCTTTAGCCTGTTGATGTTCCATCCTACTTTTTGTCTAGTAATTCTGATTCTTTTCGTAATGATCACTGCTTTGTCATTCATAGTAAAAAAGTAGTCTTGATACATTTTTGTATATTGAACAGAAAGTAAAATGTATTTAATTTTAAGATTTAATTTTTTTATAAAAAAATAAATGCTGACACTTAATTTAATTATTTAAAAAAAAAAAAAAGAAGAAGAAGACTACCATCTTTTTTACGTAGACAGGAGCTACTCCGCCCCTGGCTTATTATCAGCTTGAAACAAGAGATGGACATGGAAAAACTCACAAATGTCGGGAATATATATAAATTAAATTGTACAGTACAGTACATACAATTTTTTTTATTCAGAAAAATGGAAACTTGAAGTTTAGAAATTACTTTGGAAATAAAGTACCACGCGGGTTGTAAGATATCAAAACCATTTGAAGTTATGTCATACCAAAATTCAAATCCGTTATTGAAGCAAGAATCAAATGAACTTATCTTTCTTCCTAAGAGAAGGAAGGGAAAGCGAAACCGAATCTTTCTCTTTATTTTGGAAAGAAAAGAAAAGTAAAGAAAAAAAAAAAGAAAAGAAAAAAAGAGGGAATTGCTTCACATGTAAGCTTATATTGGCAGCGAATCCGATCCCCTTCATCATCCATGGTTGAGGTATGATGGCAATTCGTATTGGTGGAATGTAGAGCAGCATCCACTCTACCTAATAGTAAACTTTTTAATGTATTAGTGATTTCTCAAAAAATAATAGTAATGCAGTAAAAATAAGAAAAGTTCTAAAAATAAGCACTTAATCATACTGTCACCTAAGTTGTAAATGAATTAAATCACTTGATTTTAACTTGATAAACCAGTAAGTTTGAGCTTAAACTCAATTAATAAGTTTAAAAATATAATCAAATAAATGAATTATAAATTTACGTGAATTTAAATTTTTATATAATATTTTAATTTTAAAATAATTTGAATGGA